CTTATTCGAAAGGGCTATTACCAATAATTGACTGGAGAGCTGTTGCCAGATCAGATGAGGTAAGAGGTCATTTTGACCCTGTTTCCCAGGGGACCGAACCAAAACATACGTATATGGGTAATTGTTCAGGAACTGAGTACGTGCAAGTGTAGCTGTTAGGTCCTTGGTTCCCAGGGGAGGAGGGGAAGCACTATGGCACAGAGGCTGAGAGGATTTAGAATTGTCACAAATGGCTTCAGGATTGTCTTAAAGTCTTACAGTTCCTTTTCTTATGAGAGTCCAGTGGCTGACCAGATATGTAATTTCTCATTTCCTGTGGGTAGGATAACTGGGTGTCTTGCCTTATTCACACAGAATGACAAAGTTAAAAGGCTACCCACCAAGCCATGGCTGTGACTGGAGCCCAGTGGAATGGTCAGATGTGTGGCAGGCCTCAGATGAGGCCACTATAAGTGGGTGGAAGAGGCTGGATTGATGAGTGGTAGTGGGGGTCTGTGGGCTGACCAGAGAGACGGGGCTAGTTGTCTGTTGCAGGAAAATGCTTGCCCCTGGTAACTGTGAGGGAGAGATGGTGCTTCTTCAATTAGCCAGGGACGGTGTGCTTATACCCAGAAGACAGGTGACACCCAGAGCTCCCTTTTGTGTCTAGATGATGGAATTCAATGAGGCAGAACATGTTAATATATAAAGAATATCCAGAAAATAAGGTGGAGGGCTGTTGAGATAGAGGAGAAAAAATGTTTTTGGGGAGGGGTGGGTGAGCACCCCTCTCAGCAGGTGAGCACTTTGAGGGTTCCTGGGAGCAGTATTAGCGATAACTTTCTCGCTGGATCAACCGAGACAACAAGTCCATAGTAAGGAGGTTCAGAATTGAGAAGTTCAGCCTTTTTAGAGCTGAGAGATGGCTCCATCCAGGGACCCACACAGTGGAAGAAGGGAGCCAACTCCTGTGAGTTATATGATACCACATCTCTCCCCGGCCCCCTGAAAAAAATAAATAAATGTTAAAAAAAAAAAAAGTTCAGCCTTTGTAGTGAGGCCAAGTCGACAGTGTGCTGTGGATAGACCACCTTGTCAGCTTGCTAATGCTCCCCCAGTCCCCAACTGCACCCTGATATGCCATTGGTGCCCAGAGAAACACTGCTTCCCACAGATGGGGCCCAGTCCTGCTGGTACCTCAGCATTCTTGCAGATCCCAGGGCAAGTTAGCCTGTGGGTGACTAGCTTCTCCCAATTTCCAGAGCGGGACTGGAACTTTCTTTAGTTTCCCTCTGGGGAATAGTGGTCATCCACTTGTGAGGCACCTTCCGCAGCCATCCAGAAAACTGAATCATGAGTTTAAATTGTTAGATAGGCCAGATTTTTATTCCCTTTTGTTTTTGTGGTCACATGGCTGATGTTGACTTCCCTATCCTGCCTCCATTTTCCAAAATTTGTTACTACAAACCTGACTGCTTTCTGTTCTTTTAAAAGTTGTGAATTTTGGAGATTATTCAGGTGTTAGATATTTTGGTTAATATTGAGGCTATTTTGGGTTAATTTGGGCTAATATTGGCTTAATATTGAAGCAAAGACTTGTTGACTGGCAGCCCTTTAGTGCTTATGAAGACAGATTTGTAGGGAGCTGGGTGTGGTGGTGCACACCTTTAATCCCTGCAGAGGCAGGTGGATTTCTGTGAGTTCAAGGCCATCCTGGGCTACCGAGTTCCAGGATGTCCAGGGCTGTACAAAGAAACTCTGCCTCAAAAAACCAAAACGACAACAACAGCAACCAAACATATTTGTTGGCAGGTTCATCTGCTGTGCATATACAGGGTCCCACATGAGCTTAGATCCCATGAGAACCAAGAGGCTAGCTCACAGCCTCTTCCTGGCCTCATCTTTTATTGTTTTTGTTACTGTCTCTTAATCCTGTTTTGAAACCTACAGTTATTTTCAGGGTCAGCTGATTGAGGAGAAGATTGTTCCTTTCACACAAGGGTTCAGCTATACGGTGACAAAAAGCATTAGTTTTGTTCTTACTAATTCTTTACCTCTCTTTTCTCTTATAGAATCCTATTCTAAGAACACAGACACTCTGGTATCTACCATGGTGTTGGATCCTGAAGAAAAGATGCCAGATGGTAATTTATATCTTTGTGTCATAGTCAGCATGGAATTGGGCTTTCCTAGATAAGACAGCTATGAATGAAATTAATTTATGACCATAGGATTCTTTTTCATATCTTATTTCTAATTGCCAGCTGAGTTGTGACCAGCTAGTTTGGTTTCTAGAACAGTAATGCTTGCAAGGACAGTGTCCTTCCCAGGCTTGGCGATGACCTCCAATGTGTTCCTTCTATCTGCAGTGTTTCCTATGCGTGTGGAGCAGAGCACCTGAGCTCCTCCTCTAGACGACCCACTCCGTTCTGCTTAGTAAAGATGGTGGGGCCCAGCGCCCTAGAAAAACCAGAGCTCTGATATTTTAGTGGGTTGTAGGGTTTATGAGAAAGAGGAGAAAGCCTGGTGATGTTGGCAGCTCCGTGGACTTTGGAAGCTCTTGGTGAACTAGCCATTTTCTGCTAGGCCTTCCCCCACTTGGATTTAAGATTAACTGTAAAGTGCAGACTTCAGGGAAACACTGCTTTCAGGCTTCTATGAGCCCTGCTGTCACAAGGGCCGCTAGCACCCGTGACCACCAGCCCTTCAGTCCTACACAGAGAGGCCTTAGTCAGACTTCCCAGACTTCTGCTTTGCCACATCCTCTTAGTGTCGGGTGGGTTTTCCAGTCCTCTTTTCTGTTGTGTGAGACTGATAGAGCTGTGGTTCCCGAGAATGATCCTTAGAGTGAGTCCTGCTGGATAATGGGATGGGAGGATGTCCTAGTGCCTAACTTACTTTCTTTTAAAATTAGGATTCTGAATTTCTCATGGGGCTTGTTTGTCAATATTGAGTCGTAGGTATGAGTTGCTTTGTTGGCTTTAAGACAAAGTCTTGTTAAATTGAAGCCCAGACTGAGCTCAGACTTGTATCCCTTTTGATTTAGCCTTTCAAGCATGTCATTGTCCTTAGAGAACCATTATCAGGTGGGGTGTAGAGGTGTAGAGGAAGTCCAGTGATTAGTGTTAAGACCGACCCAGGGAGGAGACAGCATAGATCTGAGAGGAGGTAGGGACAGAAAGGGCTCTAATCAAAATGCACGTGTGAAATTCTAAAGGACTTTAGAATATCATGTTCAACTGATCCAAGGCTGAGAGCTTTTGGAGGCTTTTTTTTTTTAATGTATATGTTTTTTTTTTTTAATTTTTCTTTATTTATTATGTATACAGCTAGCCAGAAGAGGGCACCAGACCTCATTACAGATGGTTGTGAGCCACCATGTGGTTGCTGGGAATTGAACTCAGGACCTTTGGAAGAGCAGGCAATGCTCTTAACCACTGAGCCATCTCTCCAGCCCTTTTGGAGGCTTTTGAACTCTTCTTTGCTTCCAAGAGTTAGGGTTGCAGGCTGTACCACAGCTGGCTTGTACACATATTACCCTGTAAAGATATTTAATTTATTGGGCTGGGGATGTAACTTGTTTGTAGAGTGCTTGCTGAGCATGCATGTTTAAAACTAGGTATGTGGCTGTAATCCCAGCACTTGGGAGGTGGATGCAAAAGAATCAAGTTCAGAGTCATCCTTGGCACAAACCAGTCTGGGCTCCAGACTAGTAGTCTAAGATCAGCCCTTGTGTCTAGGCTGGTGTTGTGTGTGTGCGGGTCTGAAGCTGTTCTCAGTGATGGGGGAGCATATGCAGACAAGGGTTAGCATTACCGCGAGTGCTCATTAGTGGATGTGGTCATGTTAATGCAGATGGCGCTTCTGGAGACCATGGAGACTCTGCCAGCCTCAGCGCCATCAATCCTGCCTATAGTATCTCCTCCCTCCCTCAGTCCACTGGGGACTCTGAGGAGCCCTTCACTACCTACTTTGACGAGAAGATCCCCATTCCTGAAGAGGAGGTTAGTGATGGTTCCTTGCAGGGGACCCTGTGTCCTGGGGAAAGCCTTGGAGGGACAGGTCTGCCAGCCACCTTTAGCTCATCAACCTGAGGTCTTATTTTGGCAGCCAGTCTCTGCCATCATCAGGATAAATGGCCTCTGTGGGAAAGGTGCTAGTGCGAACTTTGTAGCTTATGGAAGGATGGATATTGTGGCTTCCCTTTTCAGCTGTGCCTCTGCTCCTGTGTGGGTAGTGGGGGAGCCTAAGGGTGCCATGCTATTTAATGCCCCTGTGTGGGTAATGGGGGAGCCCAAGAGTGCCATGTTACTTAATGTAGCACGAGCTGCTGATGGGGAGCTGGTAAAGGAAGGGTTGTCACTGAGAGAAGCAGCCACCTTGTTGGTAAAAAGTAGATGAGCTCTATGTGACACGTGGGCGTGTGCACTGCGTGCCCTGAGCCCCTGCAGCTGGTGCTGCCCCTTGACAGGTGACAGAGTAGTGCAGACGCTCAGGCTGCCTTTCCTCTCTCGTTTACAGTACTCCTGCTTTAGCTTTCGTAAACTCTGGGCGTTCACGGGGCCTGGCTTTCTTATGAGCATTGCCTACCTGGATCCAGGAAACATCGAATCTGATTTGCAGTCTGGGGCAGTGGCTGGATTTAAGGTGAGCATCCAGTTTACAAGTTTTCATTATTGTTGTTATTGTTATTTTTGCTGACATTTTTGCAATGCTGAGGATGGACTCTGGGGCCTTGCCATGCTGTCCCTGTCTTTGAGCCCTTGTTACACTCTTACGACTTTTTCTTGATCATGTTGAGTAGCCTTCAGGTAGAGTTGACCCTTGAACAACATAGGTTTGAACTGTGCGTGTCTACTTATGTGTAGGTTCTTTTTCTATTTTACTTATTTACATGGCTGTCCTGGAACTCATTATGTGACTAGGCTGGCCTCTGTCTTCAAAATGCTAGAACTAAAGGTATATGCTGTCATGCCCAGCCCAGACATAACAATCTGTTTTATAATTTACTACCCCAGGCTATGTGGAGATCTACTGCAGAAAGGTTAAAATGCACCCCATCCTCTGCACGCACACAGTTCTCGGTGGAGCTGTTCTCAGTTGAGAGAAATAAAAGCAAATGTAAGATGTGTGTCGCTAACTCCTAACCATGTACAGTCAGCTGTCATGTGTGCTGTACTTCTGTGTTGGCACCTGGTGCTCTTGTGAGTTCATGTGATTGCTTATGATGTGGTCGTTTCTGTGTGAGCAGCTTCTCTCTCAGTAAGGGATGTAGTACAGTAAGAAGGGTTTCTTGGGTTGTTGTGTAGTTTTTACCATGGGTTTTATTTATTTATTTTTTTAAGATTTATTTATTATGTGTACAGCATTCCTTCCATGTGTGCCTGAATGCCAGAAGGGGGCGCTGGGTCTCATTATAGATGGCTGTGAGCCACCATGTGGTTGCTGGGAATTGAACTCAGGACCTCTGGAAGAGCAGTCAGTGCTCTTAACCACTGAGCCATTTCTCCAGCCCTACCATGGGTTTTATTCATGCTAATGTCTTCTTGGTCTTTTGGCTAAGCGTAAATAGGTGTGCTCTATTATTGGTATGGCTTCTGATAAACAGGCTTAGTCAAGTTTTAGGGGATGAAATATTACATGAAAACTTCTTTTGCACGGCAGAGGAGTCTGGGGCTTGGTGTCTAACCTCCTGTCTTAGTTACTTTTCTAATACTCTAATGAAAGACTATGTCAAGACAACTTAGAATGCTGGGTGGTGGTGGCGCACGCCTTTAATCCCAGCACTCGGGAGGCAGAGGCAGGTGGATCTCTGAGTTCGAGGCCAGCCTGGTCTACAGAGTGAGTTCCAGGACAGGCTCCAAAGCTACAGAACAAAACAACTTTAATAGGGCTTACAGTTTCAGAGCGTTTACAGTTCATGATGGTAGAACAGAGGTGTGGGGAACAGCTGAGAGCACATCTTGGTCCGCAAATAGGAAGCAGAAAGGACACTGGGAATGGCAGGAAGCTTTTGGAGCCTCAAAACTGCCCCGTGACACACCTCCACCAAGACCACGCTTTCTGATTCCTCCAAACAGTTTCACCAACTGTATTCAAAGTTAGGAGCCCATGGCTATTCTGGTTCAAACCCCATTGCCCCTCATTGTTCCAGCATGCACAGGTCTTCATTGGCACTGACACTTCGTGAAAAGTCCTTACTATATGGTCTCTTGTTTTTTATTTGTTTTTGTTTTGAGTTTTGGATTTTTGAGACAGGGTTTCTCTGAATAACAATCCTAACTGTTCTGGAACTCACATTGTAGACCAGGCTGGCCTTGAATTCACAGAGATCTGCCTGCCTCTGCCTCCAAAATGCTTAAGCCACCACTCCCTGGTGTGGACTCTTGTTTTATCCACATAATATCCTTAGGAAAAGGAAAAGATGGGAAACTGAGGATCAGAAAGATGCTAGACCTAGTGGGTCACGTGTAGAAGCTGATGCAGAGTGTGGACCCATCCCCCTGCTTTGACTAACTGTTTCCAGTTAGCATCCCCAAACAACCAGTCAAAAATCCCTTTGGTTGTCTAATGATGTTGGCGGATATTGTTCTTCTCAGTTGCTCTGGGTGCTTCTGTTGGCTACCATTGTGGGACTGCTGCTCCAGCGCCTTGCAGCTAGACTTGGAGTGGTTACCGGCTTGCATCTTGCTGAAGTGTGTCACCGTCAGTATCCCAAGGTGAGTGGCTTGTCTGTTACCATGCAGGAATCTGTGTGTCTGGTATTGTGTACTGGCCCCACTCTGGATTGAGCCAGAGGAGGAGTTGGGGTCCGTGTCCCTGAAACTAGAAGTACCAAGGGGATCCTAATGCCTCCTCTGCTGTCAGCCTGTGTCCTCCTTCAGAATCTAACATGGGACTCCCTTTGTTGTTGTTCTTTTGAGACAGGCTCATGTAGCCCAGGCTAACATTGATCTCTATATTTAGCCAAGGATGTGTTTCAACCTCTCCAGAGGTCCTAGAATTACAGGCACACCCAGGTTTCCTTAGGGAAATGTGGCATGAGTAAGCATTAACGAGGTTCCCCTTATTTTGTTTGATGTCACCATCACTTTGAAAAAGATGTTTTTTACAAAGTATATGTGGTAGGGCCTGTGGATTGGCTAATTATTTTCAGTTTACTCTAAGTATCCTACCTTTCATACTTGCCACCTTAAGTGGGAATGACTTCTGTCAGAAGACTTTGCAGGGGAGCTGAGGACAAAACTCAGGCCTTCCCAAATACTCCACAGGCACCCTAGAGATTGAACCACTTCTGTCATGGCTGAAAATCTTTTTAAGTTAGTTCACTTGTAGATATGAAACAGGCAGGCCTCCCTTGGGAGTGCCCTAAATTTTTAGTCTCATTTCTGACTATGAACATAGAGGTTTTGTGTTGTGTTTTTTTTTGTTTCTATTCTCCTAGGCGGTCTCTGTCTCTCTGTACCCCTTCCCTCAGCCTAGGATGTTCTTGAACTCTTTTTTTTTTTTAAATAAATATTTCTTTATTATGTATACAATATTCTTTCTGTGTGTATGCCAGCAGGCCAGAAGAGGGCACCAGACCTCACTACAGATGGTTGTGAGCCACCATGTGGTTGCCGGGAATTGAACTCAGGACCCCTGGAAGAACAGGCAATGCTCTTAACCACTGAGCCATCTCTCCAGCCCTGTTCTTGAACTCTTGATCATCCTGCTGGAATCCCTGAGTACAGGTGTTATAGGCCTGTGCTACCATGTGTGATAAATATGTTATTTTTACCAACTTTTCAGAAAATGTTGTTGTTTTATAATTCCCTTTAGTGTCTTTTTCTTTGCGCATATTATAGTTATTTATGAGAGGAGACTTTTTGGATAGTAAGTATCTGGAGGCTTTCTTTCTGGTGTCAGCAAGCCAACATTAACTAAATGTGGTTTTCCATTCATCTGTTGGTCTAGATTGAGTTTCCTGGTTTGCTGTATTCCATCTATTCTCAACTAGTTTATCATGAACACTTTAAAAAAGAGATTTATTTTTTTTAAATTCTGTATACATATTTGAATATGTGCATTTGAGTGTGGGTGTCTGTAGAGGTTAGAGGCTTCGGGATTCCCTGGAGCTGGACTTGAAGGAGTTGTGAGCTGCCTGATGTGAGTGGCTTGAGCTGAGATCCAGTCTGCATCTTCTGCAAGAGCAGCATGCACTTGTGTTGCTGAGCCATCTCTCCAGTCCCTTACCCTAAATACTAATCCGTGTGTCTTTTTCCGTGCTTGCATATTATTATCTGACTTTCCTGGAACTCACTCTGTAGACCAGGTTGGTCTTGAACTCACAGAGATCCTCCTGCCTCTGCCTTCCAAGTGCTGGGATTAAAGGCGTGCGCCACTACCTCCTGACTGATTGAGACTTTCTTAATTGCTCATTTCTTGTTCTCTCTTGACTTCCATATTGGCCATGTTGATATGTTTATTTTTCCCTCAAACTTCTTAGATTGTTTTTGGTCAAGAGAGTAAGTGGAAAGTAATGAACAGAAGTTTGATTCTTCTCCTGAGAAGGATTAAGGAGAAAAAAGTGAGCTAGGTTGCCACCCTTACCTTGGCTCACAGTCTCCTGCTCTGTGTGGGGTTGAGTTCTGGTATGTCTGTGTAAGGCTGTGTGTGGTTCTGTGCCAAAATCTGAATTCTAAATGAAGGAGGAAGTTCTTTTACTGCCGAATGATGAGAGCCGCTGTTTGCTTTACAGGTCCCAAGGGTCATCCTGTGGCTGATGGTGGAGTTGGCGATCATTGGTTCTGATATGCAGGAGGTCATTGGCTCAGCCATCGCCATCAATCTCCTGTCGGCAGGAAGGTGGGGGGCTTCCCTCTAGATCATTGTCGGTATTGAGCTGGATTCCAAAGACAGGGTGAAAATGAACATTCAGCTCATTCCGGAGCATTCCGGAGCCGCCTTCATCTTTCCCAGCAGACATAGTCCCTGACTCTCCCACTCCCTTGATGTGCACACTGTATTTAAATCGATTGTGTGGGGTTTTGTACAATCACTCCTTTGTAAGGGGGGGCTACTTATCTGACTGCATAGTGTCCCACGCTTGGTGTGTTCCGCACATCTGACACAGTAAGCTCCCAGGGAGGCTGTCAGTGGATGGCCTACAGTTGATGCTGCTTCTCAACCGCCCGTGGCTTGGCTTCTTGCCACTGTTGCTTTTCCCCAGGCCCTAGCCTTCCCCCGTGTTGGGCAGGCTGTGAAGAAAGTGTCTTCCGTGGGTCTTCAGTCTGTTTCTCCTCTCTACCCTAGGGTCCCCCTGTGGGGTGGAGTTCTCATCACCATCGCAGACACTTTTGTCTTTCTCTTTTTGGACAAATATGGTAAGGAGGGTGGAACTGGTGGGTGAATCAGAGCCACTGGCTTCAGGCACATGGCTACAGGGAAGTCTGTCTTCTGTGTGCTAACTGTGCGTTTCCCCCTTAGGGTTGCGGAAGCTGGAAGCATTTTTTGGCTTTCTCATCACTATTATGGCCCTCACATTTGGATATGAGGCAAGTGTTACAGCTGTTGGTTAACTATTTAAAACAAAGTTTCATTTTGTTTGTTTGTAGTCTTTTATTATAAAAAGCAGTAACAGGGCCGGAGAGATGGCTCAGTGGTTAAGAGCATCGCCTGCTCTTCCAAAGGTCCTGAGTTCAATTCCCGGCAACCACATGGTGGCTCACAACCATCTGTAATGAGGTCTGATGCCCTCTTCTGACCTGCAGGCATACATGCAGACAGAATATTGTATACATAATAAATAAATATTTTAAAAAAAGCAATAATAATGCCAGAATAGTTTAACTGTATTGGATCAACAAAAAGCCAGTGTATTTCTGGGCTGCTTTTGAAAAAATATAGTCTGTGGCAAGGATTCACGTGTAGGAAAGCCCGTAGAGATTTCTTTTGGATCAAAAATGACTAGACCTTTCAGGACCAATATTTTTGGTCCCAAATTAACTACCCTGACAGCAGGACAGTTTTAGGGTGGGACAGACAGAGGCATATGTTGACTGTTAACTCAAAGCAGTTCTGTTTGTGCTCATCATGATTGAAATTAATTAACCAAGCTTGACTATTTCCTGTAATAGACCAGCGGATGGTAGTGGTGAACATGCGTGGTGGTGCATGCCTGTAATATGAGCAACTAAACAGAGGCAGACTGGTCTCTGTGAGTTTGAGGCCAACTTGATATACCTAGAGATTTCCAGACCAGCCAGGGCTGTAGAGTGAGACAAAAAACTGTTGATGAGTAATAGGTGATTGGCTGTTTTCCTGGCTTGTTGCTTGCCTGTCGCTAGGGATCAGTACCATTATGTTTACCTTCTTATGTTCAGTTATAAACTGATTTCTTCTTACAGGCCTGCCTAAACATTAAAAGATATCTAGTCTATGAGTAGATTTTTCAGGTTGTCCCAAGGCTTGCAAGAGAAATCCTAAGCCGGGAGGAAGTTTGGGTGGGCAGTGCTAAGGAATGACCCACTCCCAGCACCCGGGTGGCAAGCAGGGAGGTTCTTAGACGAGCAGGTGAACAGCAGTGTATGGAGTGTGGGTTTAAGAACGGAACTGTTCTTGGATCTGTATCAGCAGTTTCAGTGACACAAATACCAGCGAGACCTTTAGTCAGTTTGGTTCCTCAGAACACTGTGTTCTCTACATATCTGCACTGTACATTTTAATTGTAAGATATTCGGAATATATAGTCCTTAGTCCTGCCCCCTGGCAGCAAGCCCCAGTATGAGTTGTCTTTGGTGGTTGTAACTACCGTACTTGAGGAAAGTAACAGGAGGTGAAGGTCCTCTTAACTGGGGCTTCAGAGGGCCAGGGCTGCCTGCAGTTCCTTGGGCAGAACACCCTGGCGACAGGAGATGTGCTGTTGGAGGTTCTGTCTCAGTGCAGACAGAAGCACAGAGGTTCAGGACATGGCTAGGTCCAGGAGGATTGCCCCCATTCATGTACTTCTTCCAGGGAGGCTCCACCTGCCATAGTTTCTACCACATCCCCAAATTGTATGAGCACAATAGGGCTTGAGTCGGTCATGAGCCTGCGGCAGTTTCTGTTCCAACCACAGCAGCCCTTTGTCGCCGTTCATTGCTGATGCTGTGCTTAAACTCAGGGCCTTGTGCATACTAAGCTCATACGTGTTCATGATTCCATAATCCTGTTCCAGGCAGTTATTACAGAGGGTAAAGGAGTGAAGGATGCCAGTGTCCCTAGTGCTGTTCTTCCTGTTCCATGTTGCGATAAAGGCTAATAGGTGTTGTGTTGCCGTGTAGTATATTACAGTGAAGCCCAGCCAGAGCCAAGTGCTCAGGGGCATGTTCGTGCCGTCCTGTTCAGGCTGCAGCACTCCTCAGATTGAGCAGGCTGTGGGCATCGTGGGAGCTGTCATCATGCCACACAACATGTACCTGCATTCCGCCTTAGTCAAGGTGAGCAGTGCCCTTCCGAATCCTTAGTTTCTGCCTGCTAGAGCTGTGTAGGAGCAGTGCTCGGCGGGAGCGCGCTATTTCTAAAGCTGGCAGGGCTGTGTTTATCACCAAATTGACCAGGTAAAGTGATCCTCAAATTCCAGGCTAGTGTTCTTCATAAAAGATCTGGAAGTCTTGAGGTCCAGAGGTAAGGAGGGCTTTCCCAGTAAGTCAGGCGTTGCTTGGCTGAGATAGGTTGGACACTTGACAACTAGTCCACTAGACAGAACTGAGATAGTCTCTGGGAGCTCAGCCTGGGTGCTGGCTGCCCCATTTGGGGGTTGTGCACTGTTGTCAAGGGTGTGGAGTTCTTTGTAGCTTAGTGAGCTAACATATGTTTCATCTAGCCAGTTGTTTGCCCTCTTAAATCTTTCAGCTGACTCCAAAGTTCTGAGTTGCTACAAAGAAACTTTCTGCAACTAATGGACAAATGCCTGCTGCCTTTATCTCTCTAGTCCAGACAGGTAAACCGGGCCAATAAGCAGGAAGTCCGGGAAGCCAACAAGTACTTTTTCATTGAGTCCTGCATCGCGCTCTTTGTTTCCTTCATCATCAATGTCTTTGTCGTCTCGGTCTTTGCTGAAGCATTTTTTGGGAAAACCAACATGCAGGTGGTGAGTAAGCCAGAGTTGTGGGTGGTGAATGTCAGGTGAACTGCATGCCTGAATGGGGGCAGGAAACTTATCTGAGGTCTAGGTGTCCCTCCTATTCCTCTAGTCTACACACCAGCCAGTCTATGGTGTGGGGCTAGGAAGCCTCTTCCCACCCATTCCCCGGGTGAACTGGAAGAGCTGGCCTTGGGTTCACAGCTGCCTCCTGCTGTTGTGGAGGTGTAGCATCTTGGCTGTTTGGCCATTGTTATTTCTGTTTCCTTTTTATTAACTGCTGCCTGCCTGTCTGCTAGTCTTGGTGGTTGTGCTGAAGAAAGGTCAGGAGGAGTCAGCATGCTCTGATAGGGCGGAGCTCAGCTCGTGTTGAATTCTCTCCCGTTCATTTTGTTTGGTTGTTTTCTTTGAGGTTTTTTTGTTTATTGTGGAGTGTTTTAAGATGCCAGGGTTGAACTCAGCAAGTGTTCCACCACGGAGCTGCTTGCCTGCATTGCTCTCTAGTTTTGCTCATCATTTATGTCTACAGGAGTGACCCTGGTTCTTTGACCGAGGTCCTCTGGGTGCTGATGTCCTCTGAAGTCTTCTGATTTGTTTTCCTTTTTTTTTTTTTTGTTTTGTTTTTGCTTTGGCTTTTGAAAAAGGGGCTTCATTGTGTAGTCCTGGGTCCAGGCTTGAAACTCTGTAGACCAAGTACTGGGATTAAAGGCATCACCATGCTCTTCATTTAATATAGTTTTTGTTTTTGGGTTTTTTGTTTGTTTGTTTGTTTGTTTGTTTTTGATAAGTTCTACTTGTGTAGCCCAGTCTGGCCTCAAGTTTGGGATTCTTCTAGCTCAGCTCTCTGAAGGCTGCCCTCTAAGAGGGAAGCCCTTTGAAAGAATTTCTCTTTCCTTACTTGCATTTATAGTGCTCCAGCATTTGCATATTGCCCTGCAAACTCTGTCTCAGTAAACACTTTGGTGCTGGAGGGAATATAAGGCCTGGGGGAGAGCTGCAGATAGAGGCAGGCAGGCTGACCCCCTGGAGGGCGGCCTCTGCTTATCTCACGCAGAGGAGTTTGGTGAGACAAATGGGGAGTTCTTATATGGCTCTCATTTCTAAAACTGCTTTGGGCTTTAGGTTGACGTCTGTAGGAATAGCAGCAGCCCCCACACTGGCCTCTTTCCTAATGACAACTCCACTCTGGCTGTGGACATCTATAAAGGGGTAAGCACACTGGTTTGCAGCCTCTGCTTTGGAGTAGGTGTTTGCATATCCTCTTTGAGAGTTTATTTCAGATCTGAGTATAATTCATCTGAGTATCTTTTATTTCTGAGACCCTAGGACAGGTGCACATTTGGGGTTTAGCAACTCCTAAACTCAGGAGGACACCTTAAAGTTTGCAGGTAGTGACTGCAGTGACAGGTGAATTAGTGAAGTGCTCATTCCTGGGTCCTTTTGCCCCATCATGTTGGTTCCATTGTGACCCCCAAGAACATAGTATGTCCCCTACATTCCCCACACGGTTCACTGTCTGCACTGCTCCCGCCATTTTTCACGAGAGTACATTAAGGAGCAGGCTTTGGGAAGTGCAGGGTTCTGTCTCTTTAGTATTTAAGGTTAGAGATGAAGGAGCACTTGGAGGAGGGATAAAGGGATGCCCAGCAGTCGGGTGGAGCCTCTGGATCACACCAGCACCGAGTCTTACTGCCTAGCAGTGCCCAGTGCAGCACTTGATGTGCTGGTGTTTCATGAGGAGAGGGAGGTGCTGCAGAGGGCTGCTGTTCTGGTTGTCATCTAAGCACTCACACGCTCCTATCTCTCTCCCTGTCCCAGGGTGTTGTGCTTGGATGTTATTTTGGGCCTGCGGCACTCTACATCTGGGCAGTGGGGATCCTGGCTGCAGGACAGAGCTCCACCATGACAGGAACCTATTCCGGCCAGTTTGTTATGGAGGTGTGTGCTGGGGTTGAATACAGGGGATGGCTCAGTGCTTGAGTGTCTTAACTCCATGGTTTACAGGTTTCCCTGACTTCCCCAAGCATTTCTCTCTCCTGTCACATGTGGTCACCAGCCCCCATGCTTTCTTCCAGGGATTCCTGAACCTAAGATGGTCACGTTTTGCCCGAGTGATTCTGACACGCTCTATTGCCATCATCCCCACCCTCCTTGTTGCTGTCTTCCAAGATGTAGAGCATCTAACAGGGATGAATGACTTCCTGAATGTTCTGCAGAGCTTACAGGTAGGTGAGCAGGCTGCTGGGGAAGCTCATGCTGGAGGCTGGGTATTAGGGGTGAGTGAGAGGAAGTAAAGGCAATGAAGTTCATTAAATGGAAATAATGAGCTCTGCTTAATATATAAAACACAAGTGTGAGGCCACCAAGATGGCTCAGTGGATAAAGTGCTAGCTGTTCAGTTGTACAAGTGTAAAGTCCCCTGAAGACACGGTAAAAGGAAATAGCTGTCTCCAAAAGTTGACCTCTGATCTCCATATTCACCCACAACATGGGCATGTCTGTCTGTCAGTCCGTCTATCCTTTTCTCCCCACTCAGTCTCTGTCTTTCTCACACAAATAAATAAGTAACTTAGTAATACATAAAAATCCACAGCACTGTAGCTCGTTAAGGCAGCAAGGGTAATTCATTAAATGATTTCTAAGGGCACCACTACCTCCTGTGGAGGTTACAAGACAAGTCACAGCCAATATGTTATTTATTTAAGATTATGTGTTTTTATTTACATGTGTCATGTGAATATGAGCCTGGAACCTGCAGAGTTTGGAAGAGGGCATCAGATCCCCTAGCACTGGAGTTGAAGACAGTTATGAGCTGCCATGTGGCTGCTGGGAATTGAACCCTGGTCCTCTGCAAGAGCATCTCTCCAGCCTCCAATGCGTTGTCTTTTATGTTTAAACAACGGCACTTAGGATCACGATTAGTGCTGGGTTAAAAATAATGTTTGGCAAAGGCAAGGTTATAGGAGCAGCTGTTACCATGGCACAGATGAGACAGGGTTTATGACTCCTGTCTGTGACCAGTGCTGGTGTCTGTGTGGTACAGTAACCATGATTGGTGTGGAGGGAGAGAGCACACCAGAGCCAGGCCAGTGCCTTCTGCTCAGGTCCTGCCCCGACTCTTGGTGATAGACTGTGACCTGGAAGTATAAGCCAGACAACTCCCCAACACCCTCCCCCCACATTGCTTCTCTTCAATGTTTAATCACAGCCTTAGAGATGAAACTAATGCACCCACGTAATTCCATCTGGTTTTTCCAGCTTCCCTTCGCTCTCATACCCATCCTCACCTTTACCAGCCTGCGGCCTGTGATGAATGAGTTCTCCAATGGCATGTGAGTACACTTGTCACCCTCCCCAGGAGGTGACTTTTTACCTAGCAGGCCAGTCAGAAATGTCTTCTCTAGGAGAGCTGTGTGTTTCTAGCTGCTTCCTCTCAGGACATGAAGACACTGGCGAGGGTGAGCTACAGTAAGGAGGAGAGCTGCTTCAGACCTTCCTGTCCTAGCTCTTCACCCTCTGCTGCTGAGGTTTCAGTTCTGTGCACTCCGGTAATACGTTCAGTGCACACCTTTTTTTTTTTTTTTTGTATTTTATTTTCGAGACAGGGTTTCTCCGTAGCTTTTTGATTCCTGTCCTAGAACTAGCTCTTCTAGATCAGGCTGGCCTCGAACTCACAGAGATCCGCCTGCCTCTGCCTCCTGAGTGCTGGGATTAAAGGTGTGCGTCACCACCGCCCAGCTCAGTGCACACCTTGAAGGGATATGTGGGGTGTGTTCTAGTTTCATTTCTGCTGCTTTGACAGATACCATGCCAACAGGCAGCAAAGGGGTGGAAATGTTTATTTGGCTTACAATTCCAAATTACTGTCCATTGTTCTGGAAGAAGTCAAGGGAGAACTCAGATAGTCTTATCACTGGCACTGTCAGGAACAAGGGGTAAACACATCCTTGCCTACATGTTTGCCCTAAGCTTGCTTCTTTCTTATACTGTTGAGGATTCACTGGCTGGGTAATGGTGCCACCTTGAGTGGGCTGCTTGTTCTGCATCATCCCTACAGATGCGCCCACAAGCCAGCCTGGTATAGATAATTTCTCTTTGAGACTACCTTCCCACGTGGTTCTTGGCTGTGTCAAGTTGCCACCTAAAACCAGTCAGTGCAGGTGCTCATGTGACCTGTTAGGGTCCCAGGGTCTTTAATTGTCACCACTCTAGAGGCGGTGGGACCTGGGAGAGTGGAGCTGATAAATGAGGCGGACTGAAGTCTCATGCAATAGCCAACTTTATTCAGAGCCTTGGACAGTTTATACTTTGAGGGCTAAGACAGTCGTGCGTGTGAAGTTCTCTGTGTTCAAGCGGTGTACATGGGACTGGCAGCATGCGGCAAGAACTTGTTTTCCTATAGAGGTCTGTACAGGAGAGCTTAAACATTTAATTGAATAACAACAGCAAGCAATAATGAGTAACCTGAAGGCAACTCACTCCTGCCCACTGCACCTGGGTGGCAGGCGGGACGACACAGAACACATTCCAAGAACAGTGCCATGGTTTTGGAGAAATTGAGGTCACAGACTCTAATCTTGACACCATTCCTGGACCATGTTCTGATATCTAATGAAATGGCTCTGCCTTTCCAGAACCTGCTGATTTCTGGGGTCTTAAATGCTAGATTTTTGTGTCTTAGAGATGATAGGTCATTGGGTAAATAGGCTTGCCCCACAAGCCTGACAACCTGAGTCTGATCCCTGGGACTCATATGAAGGATGAAGGAGAAAAATAAATAAGTCTACAGATGTGGTCTTCTGACCTTCACATGCATGTTATAGCATGTGTGCCCACACATGTACTCGTCATTCATGTGCATACTTTAATAATAGATAGTTAAATACTAGGTTCAGTTTACTCCAGCCCTTCCCCCGTCTGCTCTGTCACTCATTTTGATACTCTTACGTTTTTCTCAACCTGTGTCCCATTTACCACAGAGACATAGGTTTCTTCTCTGTCTGTGTCTTGGTTGGACTGTTGCACACTCATGCACCCCTTCTTTCACAGAGGCTGGAGGATCGCTGGTGGAATTTTGGTCCTTATTGTCTGCTCCATCAACATGTACTTTGTAGTGGTTTATGTCCAGGACCTAGGGCACTTGGCACTGTATGTGGTGGCTGCGGTGATCAGCGTGGCTTACCTGAGCTTTGTGTTCTACCTGGTGAGTCCATTGGAAGGGAGCGGGGCACTGGTATTGGGTGCATAGGTGGGACTAACTGCCTTTTAGAGGCCAATGATCCACCAAGCAGTCTACTGAGGCAATTCATGTGGCGTTGTCAAATCAGCTGTTTCTGAAATTCTATTTCTTTTCTGTTGTTTTTGGTATTGGAGATTAAACACAAGGCTGTGCCCAAGCAGCATCCTAATGTTGCACTCTGTTCTCAACAAGATGTTTATATTTTGAATCATCCAATTTATTTATGTTTTTTTTTGAGGAGGGGGTGTTTCTTGAGACAGGGTTTCTCTGTGTAACATCCCTGGCTCCCCTGGACCTCACTTTGTAGACCAGGCTGACCTCAAACTAATAATTTTCAATTATTTCATTCCATATAAAACTTTAAATTATAGGGCTGGAGAGATGGCTCAGAGGTTAAGAGCATCGCCTGCTTTTCCAAAGGTCCTGAGTTCAATTCCCAGCAACCACATGGTGGCTCTCAACCATCTGTAATGGGGTCTGGTGCCCTCTTCTGGCCTACAGGCATACACACAGATAGAATACTGTAAACATAATAAATAAATAAATATTTAAAAAAAACTTTAAATTATAGAGATCTGCCTCCCAAGTGCTGGGATTAAACGTGTGTGCCACCATGCCTGGCTTATTTTAGTCTTAATACCTAGTATTTTTCTATTTCCGTTGATTTTATAAGGATCCAGTATTTAATTCCTAAGAAGAATGTATGTATGGTATGTTTGAGAAACGAAATGTCTCAGTGGTTGCACAGCAAGCATAAAATCTGAGTTCAAATTTTCAGGACCCATGGGCATGGGGTTGTGTGAGCCTGTATCCCCAGCACTGGAGGAAGGGAGGCAGCAATAGGAGAGTCATCGAGGCCTGCCAACCTAGCTACAGATTCAGCAAGAGACCTTGTCACACAGGAATAAGTGACAGAACAGGAAACATGGTGACTTCCAATGGCCTCTGCAAGTGCACACATACAGAGGGCAAATGTAGATGTATTCTCTGGTCCCCAATCTTTCACACTGCTTTTTTTGTTTGTTTGATTTTTTTTTTTTTTTTCGAGACAGGTTTCTCTGTAGCTTTGGAGCCTGTCCTGGAACTCACTCTGTAGACCAGGCCGGACTCGAACTCACAGAGATCTGCCTGCCTCTGCCTCCCGAGTGCTGGGATTAAAGGTGTGCGCCACCACTGCCCAGCTTCTCACTACTTTTACTAGTGAAAAATCCATAGCAATAAGAACAGATTGGATTATCTGTTTAACACAGAGTTCATACTGAGGTTGGGGATAAGAAGCAGCAGTGTTGGAGATGGAGGCTAGAGCCCTGCTGTTCTCTCTCATGCATTTCATCCCATGCGTGCCATGTCTTCCACGGGTTAGACTCTCTTAGAGAAAAACTTTGGTGCATAGTTTAATATGTGCCCTGAGTCAGTGAATCTTTTCCCTTTACAATAAACCTTGGGCATCCAAGGTTATACTCACCATAGAACTTTGGAAACCAGATAACTGCCTGTGTCCTTGGCAGGAATTGTTTTAAAATCCTCTTAGAAGTCCGACCAGCTGTACCTTCACACAAATTGAGTATGTTGACTCAGTACCCTAAGACTAGTGAGATTATCTGAGCCCCAAATTTGGAGGTAGGGCAGATTTTGCATCTTGATTACTGCTGCTTCGCTCAAAACCAGGAGCTTCACAGAGGAGCTGGCTCACTGCTGGTCTGTAGACTCTCCGTGTCTTTTGGAAATCCATGAGAAATGGCTACTGGAAAGTTCCGCTGAGCGAAACTAGTCATAAACGCAAAGCCTAGGAACAGAGAGCGCAGTTTTGGAAAGCCTTGGAGGGAAACTCCAGGATGTTTTAAAGCAGAAGAGGGGCTGAGAGCCTGACTTAGAGCCCTTGGTGGAAAGAAATGGATGAAGCTGGATGTTTGGGGCAGGAAGCAGGTGTGTCCCTGCAGAACATGGATGTGCTATCTTGGTGGACGAGTGACAATCTTGTTTTCTCTTCCAGGGTTGGCAATGTTTGATTGCCTTGGGCCTGTCTTTCCTGGACTGTGGTCACACGGTAAGCATCTCTAAGGTCCTGCTGAGTGAAGACACCAACGGTGGCGACAATACTAAGTAAACACTGGGTCAGTCTGTCTGTCTGTGCAGGGAGCCATCAGAGCCAGTGTGTTTCTATGGTTCACTGTGTGAACATAGCCACAAGTATGTGCTGTTGCACAGACTTCATTTAGAACTCAACGAGTAGTTGGGAAACACTTTGTTTTGTGTGTGTCGAGGTCTTCGTTTTGTTTTTGTGAAATAGAATCTTGCTTATGAAACACTAGGTAGCCTAAACTCACTGGCTGCCCTCAAACTTATGACCATCCTGTCTCATACTCCTGAGCACTAAGAATATGGGCATGCACTACCGTGCCTGGCTTTTCCCATGTGTGCTTACAAGATGATTATTTTTGAGGGGGTGGGTCTCACTCTGTAGCATTGACAGCCCTTAGAGAAAGTGACTCTTGAGCTGTTTTAAACACTAAGTCCCTAAGTAGCTGTCCAAGGGCGAATAGCATTTTGTGTTCTTAAAACTTTATGAGTTAGGGATATAGTAAACTGCAATTATGTTTTCATTGGTGAATTAAGGCTATAGTAGCTCCAGGCACACCAATTTTTATCAAAAGATAATGGATATTGAAGGCTGAAAAATACTTTTATGCTCCCTTTCAAATTATTTTTATTATGAAAAACCCAACTAGAGTGATCCATTTGAACTACAAAATTAGAGACAACTACCGTCTCTGAGTTCAGGATTTGTTTACTTGTTTGTTTGATTGCTTTCCGAGACAGGATTTCTCTGTGTAGCCCTGGCAGTCCTGGAACTTGTTCTGTAGACCAGGCTGGTCTCAAATTCAGAGATCCACCTGCCTCTGCCTCCCTAGTGCTGAGACTAAAGGTGTGCGCCACCACCGCCCCTCTACATTCATGATTTTTTATTTCTACTTTTAATTTCTCAGTGGAAGAAGGGTAGGAAGCGTAAAAGATGAGCGTGGACAGATGGTCCAGCTGCAGGGCTTGCTCATCACCCACAGAAGCTGTCCTTAGCGTGTAAGCTTAGTGGGCCTTCATATTTGGCTCCGAGGTTAGTAGCATTCATGTTACTCCCAAGGGTTCCTGGCAGTGTCTGGTCTTGGGTGCACACAGTCACAGAGCCTTTGCCTTCCGTCCCTAAGAGAGTGGTGATAACAGGAGACTGTAGCGCTCGGGAACTGGCATTCTCGTGGGCCTGGACTCGGAGTGGGTCAGAGAGCTAACTGCGCTATTCCCGGAAGTCACCCTTCACCAGATCGTGTCTCTGACCCACCACTGTTTCATATCCAACATGACTCGGGACCTAAGCTTTGCAAAGTCAGTAGGTGTCCTGTCACTGTGCTGGTGAAGCTCCCACCCTGCACAACGGACTAATGCCGCAGGAGAGAAAACCTGTTGAGACCAGAAGGCGAAGCTCTGGAGTCTTCAGCTTGCGACTGCTGCTCTCACCTCAGCCACTTCTGACATGCTTACGTGGGAGCCCGAGACCGATTCTGTCAAACCCTGTCTGTTTGGAGAATCTGAATAAGCGAGTCGTGGGTAGTCATTTCTTGGTGGCAGCAGGAATGAGAGTGGCCTTGAAGGACGTCCTTGACTTCTAGTTCGAAGCTTTCCTTCTAGCAAGCTGCCTGCGATGATCTAGTCCAGGCTCGCCTGTGCCGGGTGGCATTATTACTGGCGCTGCTAACAGTGGTGCTCACCCTTGGGGTTGAAACCCCTTTGGCAAATCTCTGTCTCCCAAAAACATTTTAATTAGGATTCATAATAGTAGTAAAATTACAGTTATGAAGTAGCAATGAAATAATTTTATGGTTGGGGTCGCCACAGTATGAGGACCTGTATTAAAAGGTCATTGCATCAGGAAGTTTGAGAACCACTGTCCTACAGGGTCCTTCTCATACCTGCCCCTTCTATCACCATTGTTCCCAAAACTTATCCAAATGGTGCCTAAAGATGCTGGAGACTGATGGTTGAACCTTGTCTTGCTGTAGTATGTGAAGGCCATATTGATGGCAGCAGAGTTCCTTACAGAGCTGCTGTAGTAACGATTATACTGTTCCTCAAGGCAGGGTGTCTCCAGAGTCACAAACAGATAGTCCAGCCCACAGCTGCTAGGCAAGGCCTCTGCTATGGATCTTGCTTCCCTGCCTTAGAATTCGTCTATGTTATATTTGTTTACAACGGTAGAAGTTTTCACTGTAGTTAGGTGTTCTTTTCTATGCAGTGTTTTATAGTGTCATTTGATGGTCACTGGGAATGTGTACTCAGTACCCTGTACGGAGAACAGTGTGTAAAAGTTTCTAGTCCTCCATGCCAGTGTTTTTCTGGCCGTGTATTTGTGAGCCATCTTTGTACTTTCTCTAAGTTGGTACTTGTTCTCATGTGACATGAAATAATTGTACGATTGATTCAATGCTCTGGGAGTTGACAGGCTGGGGTGTAGCTACAGCGTGGCTTGTGAGATCTTGACAGGGCCGTAGGAAGTGGCTACTACAAGGCTTTTAGTGAACCTTAACAGCTTGTAAACTTGATTTGTAATTAAAAAAAAAAAAAAACAAAAAACAAAAGAAAAGAAAAATTCTCCTTTTTCCTGTTTGCTTTCCTGGCTAATTTTGTGACCTTGACGACACTTTATCAATAGGGCCTCAGCAGCTCTGATGGAGAAGCACACACATGTCCCTGCTAAGAGTGACACTAGGCCCCAGCGCCAGTGCTCGCCTCCTAACAGACTGGGTTAGTCGTGGACACCAAGATCCTCATTTCACTTTGGGGCCGAGAGATGGCTTCTAAAGTGTAGATGCCACCAAACTTCACAACTGGAGTTAGATGCCCGGGACTCACATGTTGGAAGGCGAGAACAGACTCTTTTTGTTTATTTGTTTGTTTTTCTAGACAGGGTTTCTCTGTGGTTTTGGAGCCTGTCCTGGAACTAGCTCTTGTAGACCAGGCTGGCCTTGTACTCACAGAGATCCGCCTGCCTCTGCCTCCCGAGTGCTGGGATTAAAGGCTTGTGCCACCACCGCCCTTCAAGAACCAGCTCTTGAAAGTGGTCCCTGACCTCCACATGTGCTCCGTGGCACTTCCATAGTTGTCCCCATATACATACACAACAAATAAATACCAAATTAAAATTTTTTTCTGATGAAATGAAAATCAATTTCAATTTATCACTCAGTTAAATACTCTTGTTGGGGTTAAGGCCATAACTTTACCATTCTGCAAGATGGAATTTTTCCTGCCTTTCTCTAAATTGAAGGTTTGCCTGTCTATAGTCTTGTCTTGCCATCCAGGAAGGATCTTACAATATATATTTGCTGCCAAAAAATAGTAAAGATTGAACGAGAGAAACCAGAGTCACCTAGGTTAAACCCAGGTGCACATTTTGGCAGACCTGATATAAATGCTGATCCTGGCACCATTGCCCCCCCCTTTTTTTTAATATGTATTTATTTATTGTGTATACCTCATTCTGCCTGCATATATTCCTGCAGGCCAGAAGAGGGCACCAGATCTCATTACAGATGGTTGTGAGCCACCATGTGGTTGCTGGGAATTGAACTCAGGACCTCTGGAAGAGCAGTCAGTGCTCTTAACCACTGTGCCATCTCTCCAGCCCCCCACCATTAACCTTTGTAAGCAGAGGTAAAACTCGGGTGTGAGGAGCTAGCAGCATTGTCACCAGGTGCGCGGTGGGGAGGATGTCCTTACCTAACCATCCCAAGACAGCAGGCAAGCTTCAGTAGTTCCTCTTGTGGCAGCGTGCCGGCCTTGCTTCAGGAGCTGCCTGCCTAAGATGGTTATCAGAGCTGGCTGTGTTCACCAAACTTCCATCAACTTTGATTTCATTTCAGAGCTAATCTAGAATAAAAGCAATCTCTAGAACCTCTTGTTAGCCTTCCCTATTACCTTACATGTGTTTACAAATGGTGGACTACAGAGGTTACCTGATGGTTAAAGCAGGAGCTGCTCCTCTAAAGGACCCAAGATCAGTCCCAGCACCTATGGCAGGTGATTGACAGCCTCAGCTGCAGCTTCAGGGGACCCAGTGCTCTCTTCTGGCCTTTGTAGGTCCCTGTAGGTCCCTGCATGCTCGCTTGTGCTCTCTCTCTCTATCTGTCTCTCATTACAAGACACTCGCAGCCTACAAGCCAGGGCACTGGTGTTCGTGCAGAAGCACCCTGTGTAATTTATATACCCTTCTGTATGAGGCTGTAGTGAGACTCCAGACATTTCTCCAGTGTCACCAGGAACACCAAGACAGCCAAACATTTCAGTCAGATGTCATGGCACACGCTTATAATTCCAACACTTGAGAGGCCAGTCAGTTCACACAGCTAGTTCAAGGTCAGAGTGACCTCCATAGAGAAAGCTGTGTCAGCACTCATTCATGGTTTGGATGCTTGCGCCAGGCTTAGAGAACAGACAGGGTCCTTATGGCAGTAGCTAAGAACCAATAATAGATACACTTGTTTATCACCCGTCTGCACCCCAGGCTATTGTAACCCATTTCTCAATGCCTCGGAACTAGACAACAGAATTCTCCAGTTAAATTACCTAAGTGATGATACTCTAAAGTCATGGAGTGACGGCGTCCACCATCTTTGTTCACTTGGGAAAGGTTTCCATGGTGAGTCTGGCCCTAGTCATTGGTTCCCAAACCTGGATGTCAGACCTGCAAGTGAAATGTCAGTGTCTTCCTAACACATTGGCTGGGACCCATCGGTCTGTGTTGGCTGGGACCCATCGGTCTGTGTCGGCTTCTCCTGCGAGGTGACATGGGACAGTGTGTGACGTGCTCAAAATAAACTTTGTGAAGACTTGATGCGGTATCTTATCAGTGCGCTTGACATCTCGAGGTATAGCGTATTTCCATTTTACACACAGAAGATACACACAGGGCTTGAATGTGGTGCACGACTGTAATCCTAGCCTCATGAGGCAGGAGGATCACTGCAAATTCCAGTACAGTCATGGCTGGAGAATGAGACCCAGCCTCCAACTAAACAAAGGGTTGGGGGTTAGCTCAGTGGTATAGCACTTGCCTCAGTTCTGAAAATAAAATAAAACTCAAATGGATACTTGGAAGGGCTAAAACTGGGCCTTGTTCCCCCACCTCTCTGGTGCCTTTTCTACTGTATTACATGGGTGTCGTTCATTCATACAGATTTCTAGCCTACACTTGACATTCATACATAGGCTGTTGGTGCCAAGGGTGACAGTATTACTAATGCCCTAAGGACTAGAATGAAAGTCAGTCAGTGTCCCAAAGTGCATCACTGAACAGCTAAGGAAGTACAGTTTCTTTGCCGGGTGCTCAGAGTACACCTTTAGTCCCAGTACTCAGTGCGGGGAGTGGCAAACTAGGCAGCTCTGAGCTCAAGACCAGTTTCACTTATATAGGAAGTTCTGGGCTAGTAAGGGTTACTTAGTGAGAGCCTTTTGGTTTTTTTGTTTGTTTGTTTTGGTTTTTAGAGACTGTTTCTCTGTGTAACAGCCCTAACTGTCCTGGAACTCACTTTGTAGATCAGGATGGCCTCACAGAGACCTGCCTGCCTCTGCCTCCCGAATGCTGGGATTACAGGTGTGGACCACCATGCCCGGCTGGAAATACATTTTTAAGACAGTTGAGTGTGGGGCATGGTTATAAACTAGTATACTCCCAGGACCTGGGAGGTGGGGCTGCTCTCCAGTCAAGATCATCCTCAGCTCTAGAGTGTTTTTGAAGCCAGCCTGAACTGCATGAATCCTGCTTTAAAAACTCAGAGTGCACGGCATGAAGACATCTGAGATTCCTGATTCAATATGACAAACACTGGGGACCCATAGGTTACCCCTTTCTCAGTACACTTTTCTTTAATGGGAGGGTTTTCTCAAGTGTCAGATGATAATAGAGCCAGAATTACAGGGCCCAGAGATTAGATCATTTGAAGTCTGATTTCCAGTACACAGTGCTGAGACAGAGGTGCTCTGTGTTTGGTCATGTTATCCTACGGTTGAGTCCCTAAGCTCTGTCCCAAGGTGCACTTGGCACTGTCTCCATCCTTACTCTTTTAGCTCCGGTTTGAAATATTAGGAACTACTCCGGCAGCTACAAAACGCATACACGAGAAACTTCCCTTCCCACATGTGTGTGCGTGCTTTCCCTGACAACTCTGGGCTCCCTTCCTCTAAAGTACACCCTCTGCCCCTGGCCGCCTGACTGCTGTGTGGACATGGATGACCTCCACACTGGCTTTGATCTTCCATCTCCTGCTCGGTGCGGCTTGTCTGCCCTAGAATCTTCCATCTCCGGCTCGGGGCGGCTTGTCTGCCCTAGAGTTTGTCTTTGTACCTTAATGGAATTGTTCTTCATGGGCTGGGGACATGGTTCAGTGATCAAGAACACCTGCTCATGCAAAGGAACCAGTCTAGGGTCCAGTGCCTTCTGACCTCCATGCATACCAGACACGCATGCACACTACATATGTGAAGGCAAGACACACTGATGCACATAAAAGTCTAAAATTAAAATTGTCCTTGAATTTAAACAACCTCATATACCACATAAGCCATTTTCTTTTCTTCTTTTAAATTTTATTTTATGTGCCTTGGTGTTTTGCCTGCATGTATGTCTGTGAGGGTGTTGCTTCCCCTGGAACTTACAGACAGTGTGAGTTGCCATGTGGATGGTGGGAATTGAACCTAGATTCTCTGAAGAGCAGACAGTGAGTGCTCTTAACCCCTGAGCCATCTCTCCAGCCCACCACTTTCTCATCTGAAATAAAACACAAAAGTACTGAGAAAAGGGACTAAACCGAGTTTACCATGTGACTCCTTGAAAGTCACACTAATTCTCTCCCATGTTTTTGTCCTCAGTGTCACCTGGGATTGACAGCTCAGCCTGAACTCTACCTGCTGAACACCGTGGATGCTGACTTACTTGTGTCCAGATGACAAACAGCCCGAGAGACTTTAAGAACGCTGCTTTTTCCCAGCCCTTTTGTACCAAGTGTTAGCAAATCTCTGTTAGTTCAGAGGTGAGTTTGTTCAGATGTTTTGAACAAAGGCAGAGATTTCCTCGTGAGATCCAGGGTAAAGGCCAAGAGCTGTGCCTGGGTCCAAGCCCCGCTGGCCTCCAGCAGTCAGACAATAGGGAGTGGTAAGCAGTGGGCCTGGGCAGCCGTGCTCCCCACAGGCTCGTGCCTGCACTTCTGGGAATTAAAAATGTATGAACATGTATTTATGTAAACCCAAACATGCCAGTTTGGGTAAGATTTTAAGGTTATAAAAACTAATAGATTTTTTTTTAAATGTTAAGGTAAATTAGGTATTTGTTTTTATCTGGATCATAAGTAAGAAAGGGAATGAGTCTTTTTCCACTGGACTTTCTACATGAATGATCTTTTAAAGTGCTGTTTTACTGCGCTGGTGCTTTCAGTTCATTGTCATGCATCAGGAGTGCATGTAGCAGCAGAAGCTGCTAATACTTGTGTATCACTTAAAGTGTGCGTGTGCGAGCGTGAGTGTATGTGTGTGTGCACTCATGTGTATGTCCAAGTGTGTGCTTGTGTGTGCACTCATGTGCCTGTATGTCTTCATCCTCGTGCAGATCACAGACTGATATCAGGCGTTTCTTTAGTCTCTCTACCCTACTTTGGGAGTCGCGAACTCACAAAGCTCACTGCTTGGCTACACTGCCTGGCCAGTGAGTTTGGGGATCCTCCTGCCCCTGTTCCCCAACACTGGGGTTACAGATTCACTATACTTGGAATTTACGCAGCACTGGGGACCCAAGTTCAGGTCTTCTTGGACAACAGGTGTTCACTAACTGAAATGTCTCCCCAGTCCCGGGCACATCAGTTTTAACGAGAGCCTGTCTTCCGTTTGTTTTCACACTGATCGTATCTGTTTTCTAGAGTTTGCCAGTCCGTGGTGTCCCCTCCCACTGAGCACTGACACTCCACTTGCCATAGTAGACCCTGTTTCTAAGGGTCACTCTTATTGATGCTGTTGGGGGTCATTCTTATTGATGTTGTTGGGTGTCCTGGGGAACCCTAAGCATTTTAAGGTGTGTGTAGTAGTGGTGTGAGGCTCACACTGGATGAGAACCCAGATAATCAGCCCACACAGCACCACTGTGTAGCTTCTTAAGTCCCCTTCTTAAACCTTTTATAATAGAATTCACATTGAATAACTAAAAACGTGTTTAGGGCTCTGCTCCATTGCAGAGCTCCTGCCTGTTTTAGGCAAGGTCTGGGGTTTGACCTCCAACAATCCATACATACGCACACACTGTTATCCTAACAGGTTTTATTTTTATATTTGTGTGCATTGGTGTTTTGCCTGCATGTATGTCTTTGTGAAGGCTCTGGATCCCCTGGAACTGGAGTTACAGACAGTTGTGAGCTGCCATGTGGGTGCTGGGAACTGATCCGGGTGCACTGAGCCATCTCTAGCCCCCATAACCGTCTTCTTGAGGAATGGGTTACAGCACTGGGCCCACATTCCTACACAGCAGTACAGTAGGCTGGAGCGGGATCCTGCCCGCCCACTGTCATGGCCATGTGTGCCACAGTGGCATTCGGGCCGCTCCTTTCCTTCTTGGCTCCCTGGGTGCTGAGTCTACAAACCCCACAGACGTTGATGCTGTTAAACTTCACGTTTATCTTTTGGTGTTCAATTGTCTGATCTCTCTGCTTTGCTCTAAAACAGTACCATTTAGTAAGTGTCTTGTGTGTGTGT